CGCAAAACATCGAGATCAATGGACATTGATGTTATTTTTCGCTTGTATTTGAGATGACGATGATGATTAATGATCTTTTTGCTTTGAAGATTATACTAGACCTCGGTTTGGTTTCAAACATTATCAAAAAATGGTTATATAGATGTAAAACGAAAAATGTCGCAAAACGTTTGCCATAATCGGTATTAGTGAAATGAGAATTATAATTCAAAGAAATAAAATGACTTTCATATAAAATAATTTTCATTGTGTTTTTTTTTCAACTTTTTTTCATAGAATTTATTTTAAAAAAGAAAGTATGATAATATTTAAATGATATATCTTTTCTTTTATAGTTCAAATAGGTATTGGCCCTATTCCAGATTCTATTTTAACATGTCTCAATAATCATAAGGATCTAGGTATAGCAACAGAAATGTTATCAGATGGTATTATACCATTATTAGAAAAAGGTATTATTACAAATCGATATAAAAAATTTCATCCTGGTAAAACAACATGTACATTTATGTTGGGAACAAAAAAATTATATAATTTTGTCGATGATAATCCAAATATTCTTTCATTAGATGTTTCATTAACAAATGATCCAGCTCAAATACGTCAAAATTCAAAAATGTGTGCAATTAATTCTGCATTAGAAATTGATCTTACTGGACAAATTTGTTCAGATTCATTAGGAACAATGCAATATTCAGGTGTTGGTGGACAAATGGATTTTATGCGTGGTGCTGCTTTAAGTAAACATGGAAAACCAATTATTGTATTACCATCACAAACATCAAAAGGTGTTTCACGAATTGTTAATACGGTAAAATTCTATATATTCAGTACAATAATGAAAAATAATCATGTCATTTTTATTTTTTAGTTAAAAGACGGTGCTGCTGTAACAGCAACTCGAGCTCATGCTCATTATGTTGTCACAGAATATGGTACAGTTAATTTATTCGGTAAAAATTATCAACAAAGAGCTAAAGCATTAATTGAAATAGCACATCCAGATCATCGTGAAGCATTAGAACGTGCTGCATATAAACGTTTTAAAGCTTTGTATTAAATATGAAATTGAATATTTAATTAATTATGTAACATATGAAAGAAAAAAAAGATCAATATGATATAATGATCTCATTTTATTAGTCAAGTATAGAAATTAAATTTGATAAAATGTTTAACTTTTTATTCAATTTAATTTATTTAAAAATTTTCTTAATTTTTTCGTCACATAGTTGTATATATTTGAGTAGCATCACTGTGATTTATTAAGAAATTTTATTGTTTACTAGATCGCATAAAACTTATCAAAAAAAGAAAACAGTGATTATGTTTGTAATGATTTTATATTAGTGAAAAGCATCTTGTTTTTACTTACAATTGAACTAAGTTTCAAATAGTTTTAAAAAATAAATATTATTTTATTCAATAATTAATTTATATAATCATTGGTACTGATTTATTATTGCTTGTGAATTCTAATCGTTTATATAAAAAGTTGTTATACACATTTAAATATAAAACTACATGTGTACTTTCTCGGTAGAACAATTAATAGTACTCTAATATAATATTATTAGATTAGAATTAGAGCTCGTTTGAATAAAACAAAAACAAACATATTTATCAATAAATATTCAACATAAATATTACCAATGCTCGCCTTATTCTATACATTAAACTAAAATGTGTTCTTTTTTTAGATTGTATCGCATCTGCATTCTTTCATAAACTATTTACTTACTATTCATTCAGCGTTTTGTATGACGTATTCAGCATTATATAACCGATGGTGCTCCTATATTATTGATATTCTTTTTCGAATATATTTTCTGGCGCTTTCTTTTTTAATTATATGATGTTAAAGAATATATGAAGAGATCCATTAGCAAGATGACATTAGCTGTGAATGGTTTCGTAGCGCTTAAATCGAATCATGATAATTGGATCTCATCATTTCGTTCTTAAGAAACGGCAATTGAAGATGAAAATTATTACTAAAATGAATCAAACTCAAAAATAGTCGATATATATTTTTTTTTTCGTAACAACACCGTTGAGAGAATGAGAAATAGATACAAATGATATATTCAAACGAAATATCCTTTTAGAAGGGCTCTATATTGTACTTGAATATGTTGTGAAGTGCGATACGTGACTCATTTTCGTTGAATGTATACAAGTTATTAAAAACTATAAATTTGTTTCATAGTTAGAATTCATTTCTGTATCAGACATAGATAACTTAAGTCAGGTACTATTGAATTCAATTTAGTAATTGATTAAAATAAATGTCACAAAGACTTTGAACATTTTAAATGAATCTAAGCGATATTTTTCAAGTACATAAATTTATTTAGATAATGAATAAAAATTTAAGGTCAACTTACAAAAACAATCTCTGTTTTAAATTATATCAGTTATTTTCAAATAGACTACGTCTTTTTGAGATACGATCGAATCTTTGTTCACATCTATACTAGTAAGTAAATAACTATTTGAAACAATTAAAATAATTATTGTTTTGCAGAATAATGTAGCTGTCGAATATCTGTTGACTTTCAGTTGAGTTGAAGGATTCTATATAAAAGTAAAGTATTCAATAATAAATAGAATATATTTCATAGCAGATATGAGTAGTTTAATTATTAAGAAAAGAGCATTTTCTTTAATTAAGGTAATAGCAGAGAGTGCCAAATTATATAAAACCAAAATATGCCTTCAGTTTTCTTGAAATAGTGTGCTTTTCGAGAAAAGAAATGATTATTGAGAAAAAAAAAACATTTTTAATAGTTAGAAAAATTTTCGTCTTAACTTTACTTTGGTAAATCTGGTGTCATTTTCACAGATATAAAAATATTGATACATTGAAAGCAAACAAAAAAAATGTTACTACGAACCTCGTTTAGCTAAATTTATACAAATATTGTAATAGTATTATATTTTCTTTAAACCTATTGATAGTACACAATACTTAAATGAAATATACCGATGATGCTTAAAAAAAAGATACAATTTCCAAAGACATAACACTGTATTGAGTGCACACTGAATGCTATAAGCAACCATGTCTTCTAATTTTTTGAAAAGCTGGATTTTTTTGCTTATTTTTATAATCTCCAGTCTTGATTTGCGGTCCCATTATGATCAATCATCCTTTCAATCAAACTGTCTCGAAACGCATATGTATGGCACCATTATAGATGAAAACCCAATAATATTCAAAAAAAGATAATGATAATGCTATATAGCAAGATAATTTAAAATAAAATCTTTTCGAAGATGATAAACATAAAGAAAATAATAATTGTGATAATTGAATAACAATTTAATTAATGAGAATGTGGTTGTGAGGTGTGAATGTGTGTCTTTGAGATTTACAGATTTGCAGTTTCCTGCTCGGATTCACATCCATACTGATCTAAATCTACATCCACATCCTAGTTAGCTCTCCATTTATATTCGAACTCAATTTCGGCAACTGTTACTTTTCATTGTATGTCTTTATTTTTTCACGAAGAAAAAAAAAAGAAAAGCTATCATATTACTTTCGTTTTACTTCTTTTTTTTGAATTATCAAATTTGCACAAGATCCTAGATAAGTGGATTTTCGATTCTTTTTTGAATGAAAACTAGTTTTAATCGATGACTTTTGAGAAATAAAAAAGAAGTTTCATTTTAATGGTTATTTTAAAAATTTTCATTAAAAAAATCCCATGACTTGATGTCAATACTTTTGCATCATGTTTATTTCTATGATTTTGTTTACTTAGAAAAGATCGAAATCATTATATCAGTTTCATCACTTTATGATCACTTTCATGTCATGCTTTTGAATACTATGAAATAATCAAAGTCATCATATTAGTTTCATTACTTTCATCAGTTGTATTTCAGAATTTTAGTAATACAAGATAAAAATAATTATTTTAAACTGTATCTATATATTCGTCCGTCCACTTATTGCTTTGTCTCAAAACATGATGTACAAAAGCAGAGAGGCTGTCAAAATTCAACCGTTTATATGATAAGTCACTGACTTTCATATTCTGAATATATACCATTTAATACTACAATACGGTATAATGTGTCTTTTCCAAAAGTTTATCGAACATCTTCTCGATAAGATTCATTCTGTGTAATGCGAGAGAAGTTCAGATGAGACTATGATACCCGAGTCTGCCAAAAACTCTAGAGGTAAATTTCGTTCAAATTCAATGATTTTCATGAAATGAAAATTTCGAAAATCAGCACTAACTTTAAAATACATAAATAAAACGTGTGCATTCCATTATCAAAAATGGTATGTTTTTGATTTTCGTCATCGTTTTTCTGTAGGTTAATTTTCATTAAAATCATGAGATTTACCGTATTTTTTGCCAGTTCTTTTGATACCATGGATTGTAACTGACCTTTGCCCAAATATTGGAAAATGACAAATGTTTTCGTATCAAAGTTTACCATGCCATAGGTTTTGGCACGGATGAAAACGAATATTGAAGTGCAATTTTTTAATGATTTGATCGAAAAAAAACTTTTTTCTACGACTATTTATGATGCTATTTTACCGTGTTCAATAGAAGAACCTAAAATGTGCTTTTTTAACTTTGAAGATATCCACAAATGTTCAGAACATCACTGAGCACTATTCCACAAAATGCTTGCAGCCTCTATAGATTTGTTCCACATGTTTCTTTTAAATAATGATAAAGCAGCTCTCCGACTAGCACCATTATCAAAATACTCAACAATATCGAGTTTCATCTTAAATACTTTGACATCGAGACTCATTCCAGCATAGTACGTTGACAGTTATATTTATTTTGTAAGTCTTGGTTCAAACAAGAGAAAGTGAAAGAGAGAACAACATCATATTATTATCTAAGACAAAAAACTTAGTAGTTCAGTAAATTTTTGTGAATATGAAATAATGTTTAGCAAATGTTAATTATTATAGTTCAAATCGCATGGTGTTTTCACTCGAAAATATTTGAAGAACCACATTACGTTGCAGGCATGCCAAATGCCGCTATATTATTTCCACCGCCTGCAAGAACTTGATTGGTAGCTGCATATACATGTCCACGATTATGGCCACTCCCTCTTAGAAAACCACGTGAAAATCTCTGGATCGGGACGCCACTCATCGTTCCATAACCACGTCTGGAGCGACGACCACTTATGTGCCTTCCACCATATGCAAATACCATGTTGGGATCATATGCAGCTGGACCATATCCACCTTGTGAGGCGATACCAAAATTGGTCATGGGAAATCCTAGAAATGAAAACATTTAATTGATCATGTTATTTTCGCATTTCATGTGTTTTTAACAATTCGAAACTATGTGTTACATGTAGCAGTAGATCCTTCTAAATTTCTTTTGATATTTGTGACTGTTACATCAATTTAAATAATACCTCTAGATAATTTATTGATCTTTATATAAAATGTTGAAATAGATTCTTTAGACGAATTTCTCATGAATACCAGTCCATAAGAGGAAAATCTCTATATAAGCAGTTTCCCTATAATCAGGCATTGCCGTCATTATCTCGACTCAATGCAACAAGAAAGTTTTCTTTCACAGTATAGTGTTTACGTTAGCATATGCATGTCATAATTTTCACCTCGACTCTATCTTTTCATTGTACTTCCTCAAACTTAGGAGCCACAGTAATCGGGAGATCATCTGAAACACTACTAGAAAATTTCATAGTGTTTCCCGATAACACTTTTGTAGGGCGCCATCGAAAGCTTATGATTTCACGATGACTTCATTTGATATGACAAATCTTGTCACAACTTTTCAAGCTAGATGTTATAAACATAGTAGACATAAAATGTCGTAGTTCATCGACTTTTAAAAAGTTTGAAATTACAAGGTTTAAGCGCTGTTTTCTTTCGACAACTTTTATAAAACACTAGTCGATTATCGATAATTATATGGAAAAAAATATGCAAGAAGAACTAGATGATTTGGCATTGTTAAAACTTTTATCTTTATAATTGAACTTATGAAACGAAGCTTCAGTAGTGACATAACAGTAATAATTCGTGTATCTTCAAAAACAAATGTATAGGAAAACATTGATTGCTAGAGGAATTACAGTCTAATGTAAATCTTCGAATCAACTTTTCAAACATTGTGTTATTTACTGATGAAGAAGTAAGTAAACGAAAAATTGATGTACGAATAGTTTGTCACTTCAAGAACTTATTCCTATTTTTACCTGGAATCATTTGAGGACTAGCTCTAACACGGTGTCTTGGCTTGATGCCTTGGTTACAACCGCATTCATTATAATTAGAAGGATTCGAAGCATTGGGCAAGTGTATACGATTGCTCGAAAAATGTTGATGACCAAAAACAAAATGTTATCGTGAAGATCTAAGTGAATGGTTACCGACAATGGATGTCTTGATCGACCATGCTGGGCTCGAGAGTGATTACTAGGTATTTGCATTGTAGAACTCGAACGGTCAGTGAAGTTTGTAAAGATTGTATATATCAAAGACTACTACCTGTATATAATTATTTGTCCAATATCAATAAATATGTTTTGATGTTTATTTACTTCCAACAACCAAGGACTGATACTGTAATATGATGACAGTTGACAGAGAGCGATTTCCACGGCAATAAAGAGCATATAAGTCTGTAGATATTTCAGTAAAACAACACGATGCGCACAGTAAAATTGCGTCACATCGTTCGACGCGTTCTCTTTACAACATTACCACTATTATTTAGATAAGCGTATTATATTTATTGAAAAAGAAAAGCACTTTCTCAAGGTACTTTAAAAGTAGAAAAGTGAGGAGTAAGAAAATAAAAAAGTGAAATGCATTTGTCTAAGCTGAGGATATGCAATACTATCTTGAGTTGGGTAAGAGTGGTCTTATGGCTCAAACACTCTCTGCAGCAACCACTTAGTAAAGACACAAAAACAAGAAGAACTAAAAGCAATCAAAATCCTCTATATGGTGATAAATGTGATTAAGTGTTGAAAAAAATATTTGAATTGAAGATAACCAGAGTTTTTCATGTCAACATCATATTAATTTTATTTTATGTATGTGAAACTTAGTTACCCACAGTTACGTAACGGAGTCGGATTAGTAGTTTCTACATAAAATGTTTAAGGATTATCCTTAGCTTAAATACACCTGATAGAATGTCTAACCAATAGGTATGAGAGTTCATGAATCAACCATAAATAGAAAACATTATTTGAAGCAATACATGAAGATAAAGTGAACATACTAACTAACATAAGTGGAACATGGAGATATTGGAGTAGTGTATAGTAAAAAAAGCAATATTTTCGTATTTGTCAGAAGCAAGGCGTTGTAGCGGTCAACGGAATAAGGATAAACGAAAGATTTTTCATTTTCGCCTAGACTCGCATCAACTTTGATCATACTCATTCACATCCTGCAAACACAGTCAGAGAAACATAAAACCCAATATATACACAAGACATTATTCAATGCTGTGATTTTATAGCCTCTACTCTTTCTTTTTTATAATTTTTTATGTATGATCACGGCGTTCCAGTAATGATATTATCGTTATCATACATTTATTAACGCTTATTAACATGATATATTTTCATAGGTGCTTCCTTTTCTCCATTATCTATACTCTTATTTTCTCTCTTCTTTTTCTTGTTTACCAAAATGACTAGGAAACACTGACAGAAAAAAAAATCAGTTGATTTTTACCTATATCACCAGCTTGTCATTTTACTATGAAAATTGCAAACAAGAATAAAATAATGAAAAAAAAACGAAAAAGAGGAAATGAGAGAAAAAAATATTTCAGCTGTAAAAATATTACGCGTTTTTTAGGGTACGATGAAGAAAAGATTTTTCACGAAATGTCACGAACACAGACGAAAACTAAATTAAATAAACCAATCAGAACTCTCACGATTGATTTGAACACTAGCAATTACTAGATGCCTAATTGAAGTTCAAAGTGATTCAAAAGTTTCGAAATCTGATCAACAATGAAGTGAGTAAAGAAGAAAAACTATTATTCAATTATAATTTATATTTCGAATTAAAAATAAACAGTTTTTAATAAGTTCAGCAAAAAAAGTAAAAGTAAAATTTTATCTCAATTACAGTGTATACTTCGAATGGGAAGGCTATGTTTTAATAATGGAGACGTTGATTATAACAAAACTAATGTCAGTGCTGTTATAGAAAAGAAGATATGATAAACAAAGTACATACTACGATCATAAATGGAGAATAGAATTGACTGAATTTGTTGAAATGACGTCGATAAACTATGTTATAGTCGTAGATACCAACATTTATCTTACTGAATGATTATCACTAGGACATACATTAGAAGTTTTCTATCGATCTCTCTGAAAATTCATTTAAATCGTGCTATGCTTGATTGAGTGTATTGACGACAAAAAAAAAGATATAGAAGATATTCTATTATCGCAGATGTATGGTTCGGGATGGCACTTTTGCTTTCATTTCACTTTCAAAAAGACAAGGAAAGGTGAAATATTTTATTGCTTGACTACTTTCAGAATTTGTATTACACAGTGTAAACGAATAGAACAATTATTTAAAAAAATGTTAACTTGAATAGGTCTCTTTTCTTTTTATTACTTCAAATCATTCGCCTTTTACTGATATTTTCTATCCTTATTCAAATCATTATTCAGTCATTTATCATTTTGTTCTCTTTTTATTTTTTTTTCTCTGAATCTGTTTTATTGAAAGGAATAAAATTTAAGCTTCCTTTGACGTGAAATATCGGTTAGCATTCAACCACCTGTTGACAAAATCATAGGATTAGAAAAATATATCTTTTCTTTTTCTGTGTCAACTGTTCGAAAAAAATTTCAATTTAAGAACGACATTAATGAGTATTATTAATAAATTGAAAGTACTGTTGAAGAAATGATGAATACAAGATACGCCACAGGAACTGTTTGTCGACGATTTGATATAATACATATATAGAATGTCCTAAAAGCCTTTTGGTAAACTAAATGTAAATAACATTTAAAAAATTTAAGTGATTGTTTTTTTGCTCTATGTATTTTTGATTATGAATAGCAAGAATATGAGTAGTATTCAAGTGAAGCGTCAAACGAATCAAAGATACATCTCTCTGACATCAAATCTGTCATCCAATGTAATACACATCATTTCACATAGTGGCTCCATCTATTCGTTTCAACAATAAAAAAAATTAATAATTACTTCTTTAAAATCGAAAATCATAAGTTATATCAATATTTTTTTCATTGATTTTCTACTAATCAAAAATATATCGCCATAATGCCTTGTTCTTAATGAACAAAGACCGGTAATAGAATTGGTTCAATAATAAAATTTCTCTCTTGTGTGTATGTCTATCGATCTCAAAAACGATATTGACCATCTTTATTTTAAGCATGACAAAACCAACAATTGCTGAATTACAACATGAATTTGATAAACGTTTAAAACGATATACTGGAACTAATGAAGTATCTGATCTTTGGTTACCGTATGTAAAATTTCTTTTGCTCAATTTTCAAGTCTATTTTTCAAAGTATTTTTCTTTCAAAGTTTTTTGATTGCTATACAAGATATATTACCAGAAGATGATAATGGTGAAAATACATTAGCTAATAATCAAATTCTATATCCAATATGTATAAAATGTCTTGAAAAATTCGAAAATAATTCTGAACAAATTAATAATAAAGATTTTGCAGAAATTTGTCTTTTAATTGTACGTTTTTTAAGATGAAACTTTTCAGTACAATATATTTATTTTTCTCTCTAGCCTGAAATGTCTGTAGATAAAGGTTTATGGTATGGATTATTTTATAAAAAACATATAGGTGTTAAATATGCACATTTATGGATTGATTGGGCTGAATATATAGAAGAAAATGAATTAAATTGGGCTGGTGCATGGGGAATATATGAAGAAGCAAAAAAATTTGTATCCGATCCAAATGAATGTGCTGAAATTGATAAAGCTTATCGGTTTGTTTGCATTTGTTTTTTTTTCGTTATTTGAATAATAATTTTTTTTTCATTCTTTCTTTCAGAGCGTTTGCAATACGTTTTCAAGAATGGGATCAACAAGGTATATATCATTTATTATTATTAGAATTGAAATAATTGATAAAAAAAGAAAATTTTCTCATTAGAATATCAAAAAGAACAGTTAAAAAAACAACCAAAAAATCGAGCAACTGTAACAAAACGAACAACAAAAACACGTAGTTCATTTGA